AAGACCTGGTATATGATCATGCTATGAGCATATCATAATATATCAATTGAATACATGTTTAATTCACCAGATGACTATAAGAACATTCTAAGAGTACTTTAGAAGAACTAAGAGAATGTATATGAGACAATTAATTTAGTATAAGATCTTTATGTAAAGAGCTACATAAGATTTTGATTTCTAAACAAATATATATATATATATATATATATATATATATATATATATAGTTATGAATTATAATTGGATCATGACTTCATTGTGAGATGAAGAGTAAGTTTTGTTGGAATGAGGTCCAACCAAAATAAAATGACATAATATACTACGAAATAAGAGTACAATTACTTTAGAAGTTTAAATATAATATGATTGGATGAATGAGTTCGTTGAAAAACTATGTTGATCTCTGCCATTCAAGGATCACATAGAAATATTTGTGACTTCGAGAGTATACTTAATCGAGCTAAGAGACTCCATGTCACAAAAGAACACCAATCATATACTCCAAGATATTAAACTATACCTAGAGTAAAGTCAAATATGGAGATGATAGTATTCGCAGACCTATTAATAAAGTCATTCTTTTAAGCTAAGTATGAATGGTCACACTTCATCTATAAGACTTTATTATTCAAGAAATACGATTTTGATTTGGATTTAATATTTGGATATTGGAACATTGTAACAACAACTATTATATAATGTTTTGATATACTGGGATATGATCATAACATCAATACTTGTTGTGTTCTATATTAACATGTTTAATCCATGAATAATCTTATTATTCTAAAGGTTCATAGTCGATTATAATTGTAGGAGAAATTATAAAGTAAGACTAATATGAATTGAATTTGTTGAATTTCACCGGATGAAGGTAGGCAATGGGTCGTAACCAAGTTTCATAGGTACTTGTCAGAGAACTGGTATTGAACTAACCCGCATCAAGATCATCTCATGGATCATTATCATGAGTGATACTTAGTTTCAAAGGTACTATCTTTGTATCCATAACACCTGAGATACATAGTGAGACTTAAATGTAGGGAGTATTGTGCTTAGATATAGTCAAACGATGGTCCTTAATCGGGCAGTTATAAAAGCCATTTTTAGGTATGGTATGAACTATGCAAGAGGCTTATGTAGTCAATATGAGATTTGTTCCTCTTATGTGTTGAGAGTTAGACATCTAAGGCGCCTTACCAAAAGTTGAAGACCATATGAGATTGATTGTGATCTATATCTCATGTTTAACATGATGTTTGTGACAAGTGGATAACTGATAAAATTACCTTATACACCAATTGTAGATTTGAGCTTTTTGGGAACTGGGCGTTGATAAAATGGCACAAAGTCATATGTTGATGAGGGTTGTGAAATGTTGCTAGATGTTCACCATTGCCTATATCAGTCTAATATAAGTTTTGCACAAGTGGGAGATTGAAAGAGCCAGTATGCTCAAGAATCATATTAAAATGATATTGCTAATTAACATATGATACTAATGAGTTACACTAACAACAACTTGATACAGTTGACCATTTATTAGAAATTGATTTTAACTGGAAAATATTTAATTTATGGAAATATTAATTTTCATTAGCAAGTAACATAATATATATCATATGATATGATTTATCAAGTCATGTACAACATTTTGGACTATAAAGACTCTTTTGTCTTTTACCAAAAAGTTAAGGTTTATATTTTATAAAAGAGTTTATAAATTTCACAAACTTTCTATTTATTGTTTTAGTCAAACCCATGACTTCCTATATGCTAGACTAGTTATGAGCTTTTGATTAAACAAATGGAAAGTAAGACATGTCTAAAAGCATGGGGGAATATGCTTAAAGTGCTAAGGACCTAAGGATAAAGAATTAACTTTATGAAGCGATAAAAATTTCATTTTGGCAAGCATAATTTTGAAATCCTCTTTATCTCTCTCATTCTCTCTTGCTTTTGAAGATCAAGAGTTCAAGTTACTTGCATTTTTACTCTCTTGAAGTTCATACTTTGGTTATGAACTTCAAGCTTAAGAGTTAAGAGTTTTAGACTAGCATCTACATCAATTTGAGCCATTGTTGGTCTCTCTAAAGTTCATCATTCTTCATCAACTTCCAAACATCCTAAGAAGGTCCAAAGAACTACAAAGGTTGTTATTTATTCATCTTCTTCTTTGATTGTTTTTATTTTCTTTCCAAACTTTGTAAGAATATCATTGGTGGGTTATAAACTTGTTTTATGTTATTCAAATCATCAAGTCTTCCGTTGCTAAATATTATGTTTTTGAATAAAAACCCAACAGAAGCACCCGTCATGAGAATTTCCCACGATGATCATTCATCTTAAAAATTGATCTCACCCAAACATGTTTAACCACAAAGTTACACCAGATATGCGATTTTGGAGCACCTGATATGAGAACTTCCCAAGAAGTCATTCATCTTGAAATTTGATATCACCCGACCACGCTTAACCGCAAAGTTCTCATTGGATATGCGACCCTCTTATAAGTTCTCGTGTTGAGTGCTCCAAAAAAACAATATCTTGGTAAGTGTGCCTGAAAGTGTTACAACATGTGGCTCTTAAGCTGAGGTTGCGAGTGTACAAAACATGTGGCTTTTAAGCTGAGGCCGCGAGTGTACGATATATCGCTACGTAACGTCGGAATATCTTTTGGTTAGGATCCATAGGAATGATACACCTGTAATGTGTACAAAAAAGGTTTATAAATAGTAATGTACTTGAGTCACTAAAATACACAACAATATGTTAATTCAATTAAAAGGACAAAAACGATGCAATTCTTCATGGACGTATCGAGAAGAGAAAAGTGAATGTATATGTCAAAAAGATAAAGAACAATATTTTCTTATGGACTACACGTAAAGAAAAGTGACTAACACTTTCCTATGATCGTTATTCATTCATAAACGTGGCCAAGTAAAGTTGAAGCAAGCAACAAAAGTTATATAATGTTTATTTATTTATTTTTATAAATATAATGGTGATATTTTTTTTAATATAATGGTGATATTGAAAAATAAATTACATATTTTAAGTAACATTTTGAGAAAATAAGATTAATATAAGTGACAAAATCTATTTTTAGTTTCTACGCACGATTGGATGACTTTAAGTTGTAATTGAAATAAACATTTTAAATTATTATACTTTTATTACAAGAACAAACTCAACTGATATACAAAAGTTTTAAAGTAATATATGTTTAATTATTATTATATCATTATATGGTTAATTACTTAATTTTATAAAAGACCCCTATTGTTGTTGGCTAATAATTACCATATTGTTTGTTGTTGTTGTTGCTGCATATGATGTTTTTGATAGAAGAAGATGGAGGTTTAATTGTATTTGTGCTTCTTACTTTAACACAGATAATAGATCGATTTGTATCAATAATTATTTTATCTACAAAAAAAAAAATACATAAAATGAAACTATTGTGACTTACGATAAAGAGCCATCGGGAAGGGGCACATGTTTTACATGTAGAAGACCTGGTTGTTCATGTTTTAGAGATCCAAATCTGATGGAGTGGGCAACAAGACTTTAAGCATAACTATATCTAGTGGATTTGCAACATTACATTTATGATAAAGGGAAACAAACGTAAGACGGTTGTTTGAGATGATAACATGAAACATGTCCACCTAAAGTATATTATCCTATTTCAGTATTGTTATTCAATTGTTTCTAGTTATGATCCAAAGAGTGAAAAGTTGACTATATCAAATTTTTATATAGAATTAGGGTAAATGTACATGCCAAGTAGGGTCCATGAACCATTTACCTATAAAAACCTTGAACCCAAAAGGGAGCATAAATGAACTAAATATGCAAAACCATGAACCCACAAACTCATGGTTTGAGGGTTCAAACCCGAAAACCCATGGTTTGTGGGTTTGAACCCGAAAACCCATGAAACCATACCTAAAATTTTAAACAGAAAAGCTGTATCTAGAAGTTGAAAGTTTTATAAAAAAACCAATTTAATTTGGAAGTTTGATTAGAGAATGACGAAAAATATACCACTTATTTATACAATGAAGTTATGTTTATTTACCAAATCAAACGTAAATTAGGTTTCCTAACCATCAATTTTCTCACAATTTGATGTTTAATGTTATATAGTAAAAAAAATAATAATTGAAACTTGAATGTAGTAATGGAAAGAAAAAAACTGAAACTTCGTAATGGAAAGAAAAAAACCAAAAGTACATTGCTATTCTTTATGTTTAGAAAAAAAAGTTGAAAATTTAATGATTGTAATAGATTTTTAGTTATATTTATCTAATAAATTTTCTGTTATACCGAATAATAAAATAGATTGGTATATTTTTTTGTCATACAAAATACTTAATCAGTTATCTTTTTCTCCATTTTTATTATCCACTTCAATTTCATTTTTCTATACCAAATACATCCTTAAAAACCATATAAAAATATAAATACATAATTTATTTTGAGAATCCAAATATTCATTTATAAAAAAAAATGCAAAACCCAAAATTTCACATGAAAATTTAAATCCGGGTCCCAAATTCAAATATTTTGAACCATTCCAGGGTATGAGGAATTCAATTGCAAATTAATTTGAAAATGGTTACCGATCGAACATTGCGGTGTTGTGCCGCCCGCTATTTTAGAACCGTTCGATCATTTTCCAAGCGAACAGCCAGAAAACCCTAACCCAACCATGGTTAATCATGAAGGTTAACTTAACCAACCAAAACCAATACATTCTTCGCAAACTAACCTCTAAAGTTCCATTTAATTACCACTTATGCCACGCATAACCTCTTCCTATAAATTCAGCCTCGAACCAGAGCTAGGTTTGCCCAACTGAAGAGCCAAGGGCCCTTCAGTAAAACTACCCTCCCCTCTCCTCCCTCTTTCTATTCCTCCCAAACCTTTTCCCATACACAAACACCAATAAATCGTACTTGCTTTAAGCTTTCCTCAAAGGGAAAAGAATGGCGACATCTTCTAGAAAATCAAATGCACCGGTTTTGCCGTTGACATCGAAGTTCCACCGTTCAGGTTCTCCGTCTGGAAGATTCGGAAGTCGCTCATCGGCGTTTGCAGCTGAGGTCTCATCGCCCTTTGCGTCATCAACGAGTTCCAGCTTCTATTCGTCTCCGTCTTCGAGTCATGTTTACAGTCGACCGACTTCGCCGACGCGCGTGAACCTCCACGGATTCGCTCCGGTGACTTCGTCGGCGGTGAGATTCTCGTTGGCAAGCAGATCCGGATCTCCGAATCGGTCGATGGCGATGAGTTCTCGAGATCAGGTTGTTCGAAAACAGAACGCTGGAAATCCACTGAAGAATTTACCGAAGAAGACGTGTATGTGTTCGCCTACGACGCATCCAGGATCGTTTCGGTGTAGTCTCCACAAGAATTATAATAGCACACAAGCGATGACGTACTCTCCAAACCGGTTGAATGCTCGTAGATCTGCGATGACGAATTCATTAGTGCGAATCGCTACAGTCGAAGGTGGAGATCTGGTGAAGAGAGCTTTAGCTGCTTTGATCCGACCGTCGTCGCACCAACAGCGGCGGAGATCGGCGTTTGAGCCTCGACCAAGCCGTCTCTCCATCATGTCCAAGGCCGACGACTTATGATTTTCCACAAAAATCCTCTGGTTGTACGGTTACAGGTTTGATGATTTTACCTCTTACCTTTTCCATTACAGATCTCTCCCGCGATGATGCTTGGATTCTGATGAAGATTGCTGTTTTTGTAATTCGCCGACATGAAAATCATTCCTTACATTTTGACACAAGGATGAAGCTTTATCCATTTATGGAATCTAAACGAAACGAAAAGAAACCGATCCTCTTTTGTACATAGATGATAGTATATGCTTGCAGCCATTGTGATTGCAAAATTGAAGGACATTTTGAATTGAACTTTCCACTTCCATTCAACAGATCAAAAACACTTCTAAACAACTTGAAATCTTAATTAGTTCAGTATTAACCTAACACAAGAACATCAGATCATAATTTCGTTATGCTTTTCGTGTGTTCTGTTGATTTGTGTTGAATCATCTGTTTGATTGATTGATCCATTCGTTTTCGCAGCATCAGATTCCGTGTTACGTCCTGTGCCGTGTTATGTTCCGTTACGTGCCGTGCCGTTCCGTCATCGATCACCGTTTGCCGTCTTGTTCGCCGTTATTTCTGAGGTGCATTTGGTGGTATGTGCGTTTCGTGTAAGGTAATATGTACTTTATTTTTTTTATTTATTCATTTATTTAATTTAAATTTTTTATAAAAAGATTTGATAATCTCTTATTTAAGTCACGCAACAGGAATGATCGTATAAATGTGGTTTAGAAGTTTTTGACCTTGACGCTGGAAATGTGGAAAATTGAAAATTGAAGAAGTGGCTTCCTAATTTCCCATATCTTTTTGGAGAAGTTAAAACAGTTGGGACTTTGAATTATTCCACACGCTAAAGACACCGAATACCTAACTGGAAAGATGTCTTTGGGTTGGGTTGATAGACAAATAATGGCCCTTCATAAATAAAGAGGAATCCGTCGACTAAATTTTAAAACATAAAATATTATAATTCAATATGAATACATATAATAATAATATAAAACATAAATGATTTTCATTGGATATATATGAAAAAATGTTGGTTTTAATAAATCTATGTTTTACAAAGAAATGGCTTGCCCACTTTTTTAATCAATTATTGTTCATATTTTTAAAAAGATGTAGTAGTTAAAGATTTCTCAATTCTTGATTACATAAGAAAAAAAAACATGAATGCAAAGATCATGAAAACATAAAAAATTTCATTCAAGTCAAATTGGTTAGATTTTGGTCAATATCTTTATTGAAAATGCCCTTGTTCATGTAAAACCATAGTGGTGATGGACAGTATTGTGGCGGGTTAAAAATTATTTGGACTAAAATTGTAATTAACGTATAAAAACTATAGGGACTAAAAATATAATTGCAATCATTTTTTGGGGACAAAAACTTTAATTGATGCAAGTTAAAAACTATAAGGACCAAAATTATAAGTTAAAAACTGTAAGGACCAAAATTATAATTAAACTATAGGTATTAAAATACAATTTAATCATTTTCTCAATTAAAAACATGAACCAAAATTATAATTAATGCAAATTAAAAGCTACATGGACTGAAATTGTAAATAATGCATAAATACTACAAGGACCAAATGTGTAGTATAGTAACTTCTTAAATTTTAAACTATAATGATCAAAATTATGTAATTCAAATAAATTAAAAATTATAAGGACTAAAACTGTAATTATTGTATTTTCTAGAGGGATATATAATATGTATGGGGATCTAAGAATTTTTGTTAGAAGGGTTTATCATTTAGTAAGATGATGATTGATGAGTCATGTCAAATAACACTTAAACTAGCTAGACTAATCAAAAAATAAGCAATTAAGAGAAACAACTTACCGAAACAAAATATTTAGGTCAATGTAAGAGATGGAGTAGCACAGAGATGAGTGTAGAGTCGCAAAGAGATCAACATATAAAGAGGCATTGGACAATTAAGGCAGAGAAGCGAAAGGTGACAATAAGACATATCAGTATCCTTGTTATGTATTTGTGAATTATGAATGTGTATTGGTGCATATGAGAGAAGCAAGATGCGGACAAAATGTGAACGTTTTTATATATTTCTTTTCACCATCAATGCTTAATGGTGATCATTTGATATGAAACACTTACAAATGGAGTTGACTTAGGTTCAAGTCTCACATTCTTCAACTTTAAAGTGAATTATCAGTCAAAAAAAATTATCTCTGTGACTTTGCATTCACCACTATGTAATCGTGTCTCTCAACTTGACTTAAATTTTATGTCAAGTAAGCCGCTTGACCTAATTGCTTATTTTTGGATTAGTCAAGCAAGTTTAAGTGTTATTTGACCTAACTACAAATTTGACTAGTGTAGTATATGTATGTATATGTTAGTTACTTGTTGGACTGTTAAATATTTCATTTATTGTTGCAATGATGGATGTGATATCTATTCAAGGTCTTTATACAATCTGGTCTAAAATCTTAATGGAAAAATGAGTTCTTCAAAACGCATAAGGGTCTTCCACAACCCTTAACGCGTTGAGACGTTTTCTCTCTCTTGAATTTCTTTTAGTATTTGTATATCTAATTTAGAGCAATAGACATATACCAATAAGGTTGTTATAATCAATGTTTTAAAAACCGGTTTGAACCGGCCGGTCGAACCGGTTGGACCGGGATCCGGGGGAGGGAGCGGTTCAACTATCACTGGTTTTACATTGATTTTTGAACCGGATTGAACCGGCCGGTTTTTAGAAAAAACCGGTACAACCGGTCAAAATAAACCGGTTAAACCAAATAAAAACAAATGAAAAAGAACCATTTACATAATAAACTTTGGTGATTTTTTTTTCAAATCTATTTAGTTTTCTTTAAATAAAAACATATAGTAAATGTTATAAAGTTTTTTGATGTGTTTGTATTCATCTAAAACTATTATTTTGTTTCGGTATTATATTTTATTTTCTTTTTGACGTATATGGATTGATGTAACACACTAAAACTTATGGTTATGTGTTATTTTAATGTATTTGGATTTATCTACAACTTATTTTTATGTGTATTTTTAATATTTGAACTTGTAAACATCAAATTCATGATTTATATATGTATATGTGTGTAGGAAAATAAGAAAAAGCATGAAAAATATAAAACCGATTGACCCGGCGGTCGAACCGGTTAAACCGGGAACCGGTCACCATACCGGTTAAAAAAAACCGGTTTTTAAAACATTGGTTATAATCAAGTGAATGATTAGATGTTGACACACTTTCAATTGAATGACTAAAACCCTTATGGTATATGTTGAATGTTAGAGTAGTGGGCACAACAAAGATAAAAAGAAGTCAACTTCAAACCACCTGAAAATTATATAAAAAAACATGCAAATCAAATGTTCATGAAATTACATAGAAGTCTTAAAATATGCAAAATGCATGAGATTTAATACCTAAGTATGGTGTAAATGTATGAAATAAATTTCCTAAAAGATGCATTAAAATGCATCTAACATGACACAAAAAAATGATTATTCCAAGTTCATCAACCAACATTTTATATTCACTCGTTAGTTAGTCAAATAACTGATGAATGACACACATATGTCAGAGATATACACATCAAGTAAAAAATGGACACATATGTCAGAGATATACACATCAAGTAAAAAATGGACGCAAATTCTACATGTTCATAATAATAAGTCATTATCAAGGAATGAGTTATAAATATAAAGTATATGCACGCAAATAAAATTATCAAGCCATGTTTAAAAAAGTTTTATTCCTTTCAAGATTGCCTTAGTAGTTTTTCTTCGAATCATGAAAGTGTTATACATGTCATGATTCATGAATACAAAAAAAAAAAAAACAATTTAAATCCTACCCAATCATAAAACATAAAAATGAATACCTTCCTTTCAAGATTGTCTTGGTAGTTTCTTCTCTGTATTTTTCCTTTGTTATCTTCTTATTTGAGAAAATGATTAAAAATCATAATAAACTCTTTGTTACATTCATATAGGTTATCCTGTTTCTTTTCTGTATTTTTCCTTTGTTATCTTCTTAAAACCCACCTGGGGACGAAAACTCTAATTTTTTTTTATAATTCTCTCAAAATGAAAAACATGAAAACCTATATGAATGGGCTGATGATCAATGTTAATTGGGTTACTGACGTCGGGTCTATTAAGGGGGAAGTCTATAATTTTTTGAGGCCAAATTCCATGAAACACAGTTGTGCAAGCCTTCCTTTATCAATGAGAATTTTAAGAAGTTATCAGATGTCAATAAGAATTGGTTGGAGTCGCCTTTTGAGCTTATGGAGGTAAAAGATGCCATTTGGAATTGTGGCAATGAGAATGCACCAAGTCCAGATGGTTTCTCTTTCAAATTCATCAAGCATTATTGACATGTCATGCAAGATGATAGCATGCGATTCGTTAAGCATTTTGAAGCGGGTGGATGTCTTTCCAGGGGGAGCAACTCTTTTTTTTATTACTTTATTGCCCAAAGTCAAGGATCCTCTATTGTTAAACGACTATAGACATATTAGCCTCATCAGATGTGTTTATAAAATTATCGTGAAGGTTCTTGCGTCCAGTTTGAAAAAGGTGATTAGCTCTGTGATCCTTGAAGTCCAGTCGGCCTATGTTGATGGGAGAAATATTATCGACGGACCTATGATAATTAACGAGGTGGTGTCTTGGGGTAAGAAGTCCAAAAACAAAATGTTCTTGTTGAAAGTTGATTTTGACAAAGCTTTTGACTCCATCAATTGGTCGTTTTTGGATTCGGTTATGTCTCAAATGGGCTTTAGTGTTAAATGGCGATTTTGGATTAAGGAGTGTTTCGCATCTTCTAGAGCCTCGGTTTTAATAAATGGTTCGGCTACCAAAGAATTCCCTATTACAAAAGGTGTTCGTCAAGGTGATCCCCTCTCACCGTTCTTGTTCATTATTGCCATGGAAGGTCTGAATGTCGCTTTAAAATCTGCTTGTGTTAAGTCTCTCTTTCACGGTATTCAAATCCCCAATGGTGGTCTCTCACTGTCGCATCTCTTTTATGCTGACGATGCCCTCTTTTTAGGTAATTGGTCTTGCTCTAATTTTGCAAATTTGGCTCGTATTTTAAGGTGTTTTCATGCTGCCTCCGGTTTAATAGTTAACTTTCATAAGTCCAATGTGTTTGGCATTGGTGTTTCGGGAAATGATGTCTCGGATTGTGCTCGGATCCTTGGTTGCGACGTGGGTTCTCTCCCTTTCAAGTATTTAAGGGTCCCAGTTGGTGCTAACATGACTCTTAAGAGAAATTGGGCGCCTATTGTTGATAGAGTTCATAACCGTCTTTTTTCTTGGAAGGCAAATAATCTTTCTTTTGGTGGGAGACTAACGCTTGTGAAATCAGTGATGAGCAACCTTCCTTTGTATTTCTTCTCGTTGTTCAAGGCTCCTAGATCGATCATTGATCTTTTAGAAAAGCTGAGAAGACGATTTATATGGGGAGGTAGTGATGAGAAGAATAAGATAAACTTGGTTGCTTGGAAAACTATTTTAGGTGATAAAAATAAAGGAGGTTTGGGAGTTGGATCTTTATGTTCTCTAAATTGGTCCCTTCTCATTAAATGGATTTGGAGGTATAAGGTCTATCATAAATCGTTATGGAGACGAGTCATTTGTGGAATTCATAATCTTGTTAGAAAACCAGTGAAATCCATGGCTAAGAAAACTCTCCCCGGCGTTTGGTATAATATTTCGAGAGTAATTCATGAATTAGAGAACATAGGTATTGATTTCTACTCTCTTTTTAACATTCATTTCAAATCGGGTTCGGATACTCTCTTTTGGCTTGATAATTGGATCGGGTCTGACAATCTTGCATCTATGTTCCTTTCTTTATTTGAGTTGGATAAGAAAAAAATCTTGTTTTGTTTTTGAGAGATTGGATACCACTTCGTTTAATTGGGCTTGGAAAAGGGCTCTGTGTAATCAAATTGAAGCAGAAGAACTAATTGATTTAAAAAACTGCTTGGAGTCGGCTATTGTTTCTAGGGGCAGCGATACTTGGAGATCGAAACTTTTTATGGATGGGATTTTTTACGTTCGTGATCTTCATGCTTTGATCGATTCAAGGCTTACTGTGCCGGTGGACAACCCCAAGGTTTGGATCAATCTGGTTCCCTCAAAAGTCACTTGTTTTACTTGGCGTGCCTGCATGGATCACATCCCTTTTGTGATTGCGCTCTCTCGGAGAGGTATAAATGCTTCTGTCACTTCCTGTGTTAGCTGCATCTCAGGTGTTGATGAGACAGATCACATTTTGCTTGGCTGTCCTTTTGCTCTTCACACTTTAGACAAGATTCTTGATTGGTGTGGTATCTCTTCCTATCTTGCTTCTTCGGTTGTTGGGTTGGTTAATTGTGCAACCCAATGGGGGAATTGCCCTAAAAAAGGAAGTTGTTTTTAGCCATCATTTACGGTTATTTATGGGGTGTTTGGAGGGCTCGAAATGAAAAAAATTTCAACAAAATGTGTGTCTCTTCTTCGGCATTGGCGGATAATATCATCACCATGGTTTTTAGTTGGGTAAAACATAGAGAAAATTACAGGAATTGTAATTGGGCTACTTGGTGTGTTTGTCTATTCAACATTATGTAATTTTTATCTGTTTTTCCTTTGCCCTGCCTTCGTCTTTTAGGCAGTGGTTTTTTAATAATATTCCGCCGTTTAAAAAAAGGGTTAAACATTATTAAAGGCAACTTTTAAGGAGAAATACATCTTATTCATCGGAGATAATAATTACTAGCATGGGGTATTTAATTTTCCTAGAAAACTAATAAATATGGGGCAATGATAATTTAAATATTCCACTTAAGGCTATGTTTGACGTACTAGCTAAAAAGTTAGCTGATAGCTGAAAAGCTAGCTGTTAAATAAAAAGCTAGCTGTTAAATAAAAAGCTAGCTGATAGCTTAAAAATTAGCTAATAAAAAATAATGTTTGGTAAAACTAGTTGAAAAACTAGTTGAAATATATAAAATGACATAAAAGCTAGTCTATGTAGCTTTTTTAAAAAGCTAGCTTAAAAACTACTTTTTGGCTTACCAAAGATGACAACTTAAAAAAACTCGAAAAATAAGCTAGTTTATGAGCTAACTGTGACATGCCAAACACAACCCATATAGTCTACAATTTGCTTACAAATATATCTAGGTATACTTAAAATATATTATACGAATCAGTTTTAGATATAAAATACAGTTGAAGAAATTTAAATGTATTATAAGAATCAGTTTAGAGATCTCATCTACTCATGAAAAAATGACAAATATAATTAGGAGATATAAAATGTGTTATATGTAACGATTTTAGATTTACAACTGACTCTCGTGTATTGATTATAAGTACCGAACAATCCATATAATACAATTCAATTAAAATGTCTACAAAATGTACTTAATTTTTTTTTCAAGATCTTAAAAACATAATGGTTATTCAATATGGATGGAAATTTCCATATTCAAAGACACATCATAAGATCTTAGATAGTATACAATAGGCTGAAAAAAAAATCCATTTCAAAGAGTCCTCGGTACACTTCAAATGTTATATAATCTTGTTGATACAAGAAGTAATCACACAACAAAATGACACAACGGCCTACAAGGACCAAATGTGTAGTATAATCATTTCTTAAATCTTGAACTATAATGATCAAATATGTAATTCAAACAAATTAAAAATTATAAGGACTAAAACTATAATTGTTGTATTTTCTAGAGGGATATATAATATGTATGGGGTAACGGGGATCTAAGAATTTTTGTTAGAAGAGTTTATCTAGGGATTAACATCGGAACCGGTCCGGCCTGAACCGGAACCGGTTTGGGAAATGAACTTGGTGGGAAATAGAAACCGAACAGGACTGTCGGTTTTACCGGTTCCGGTTCCATTGGTTCCGGTTTTTAACGTGTCTACAATGTTGGAACCGATCTTCGAGAAATAACAACATACGGTTTCGGTTTTTTCCGGTTTTACCGGTTCCCAGATCCAAAAATCCACAAGAATATCGTCCCGGTCCCGACCCGATCAGTTCTATCCGGTTCCGGTTCCGGTCAGCTCCCCGGTCCAAATGCTCATTCCTAAGTTTATTATTTAGTAAGTTGATGATTGATGAGTCATGTCAGAACGATTAAAAACTGGATTGACTTAGATCAAAATGATCTAAACCCACATGATAAGAATTTTTTTAAACAGTTGACAAATAACAATGAAGACATATACTAGACTAATTGAACAAGTAGTTAGGTTAAATAACACTTAAACTAGCTGGACTAATCCAACAATAAGAAATTAAGAGAAACAAACTTACCGAAACAAAATATTTAATTCTATGTAAGAGACGGAGTGGCAGAGAAGTAGAGAAGTGAGTGTAGAGTCGCAAAGAGATCAACATATAAAGAAGCATCGGACAATTAACTGATTAAGGCAGAGAGGCGAAATGTGACAATAAGACATCTCAGTGTCCTTGTTATGTATTTGTGAATTATGAGTTTGTATCGGTGCATATGAGAGAAGCAAGATGCGGACAACATCTGAATGTTTTTATATATTTCTTTTCACCATCAAGGTGCTTAACGATGATCATTTGATATGAAACACTTACAAATGGAGTTAACTTAGGTTCAAGTCTCACATGCTTCAACTTTAAAGTGAATTATCAGTCAAAATAATCGTATCTCTCAACTTGACTTCAACTTGACTTAAAGGTGCTTAACGATGATCATTTGATATGAAACACTTACAAATGGAGTTAACTTAGGTTCAAGTCTCACATGCTTCAACTTTAAAGTGAATTATCAGTCAAAATAATCGTATCTCTCAACTTGACTTAAATTTTGTGTCAAGTAAGCCGCTTGACCTAATTGCTTATTTTTGGATTAGTCAAGCAAGTTTAAGTGTTATCTGACCTAACTACAAATTTGACTAGTGTAGTATATGTTAGTTACTTGTTAGATTGTCAAATATTTCATTTATTGTTGAAATGATGGGTGTGTTATCTATTGAGGGTCTTTATACAATCTAGTCTAAAACCTTAATGGAAAAATGGGTTTTTCAAAATGCATAAGGGCCTTCCACAGCCCTTAACACGTTGAGATGTTTTCTCTCTCTTGAATTTCTTTTAGTTTGTATATCTATTTTAGAGCAATAGACATGTACTAATAAGGTTGTTATAATCAAGTGAATGATTAGATGTTGACACACTTTTAATTGAATGACTAAAACCCTTATGGTATATGTTGAATGTTGAATGTTAGAGTAGTGGGCACAACAAAGATAAAAAGAAGTCAACTTCAAACCACCTGAAAATTATATAAAAAAACATTCAAATCAAAGGTTCACAAAATTACATAGAAGTCTTAAAATATTCAAAATGCATGAGGTTTAATACCTAAGTATGGTGTAAATGTATGGAATAAATTTCCTAAAAGATGCATTAAAATGCATCTAACATGATACAAAAAAATGATTACTTCGAGTTCATCAACCAACATTTTATATTCACTCGTTAGTTAGTAAAATAATTGATGAATGACACACATATGTCAGAGATATACACATCAAGTAAAAAATGGACACAAATTCTACATGTTCATAATAATAAGTCATTATCAAGGAATGAGTTATAAATGAAAAAACAATACAAATTCAATCAATAAAAACAATACAAATTCAATCAATAAAAAAAACCTTAAAAATCAAATAGGGTGTCTAAATGAAAAAATGGGGTGTCTTTTTAGTCAACCCCATATATCTAGGTATACTTAAAATATATCATACAAATCGGTTTTAGATGTAAAATGCAGTCGAAGAAATTTAAATGTATTATAAGAATCAATTTAAAAATCTCATCTACTCATGGAAAAATGACAAATATAATTAGGAGATATAAAATGTGTTATATGTACTGGTTTTAGATTTACAACCGACTCTCGTGCATTGATTATAAGTACCTAACGATCCATATAATACAATTAAATTAAAATGTCTACAAAACGTACTTGAAATTTTTTTCAAGATCTTAAAAAACTTAATGGTTATTCAATCTGGATGGAAAATCCCATATTCAAAGACACATCATAAGATCTTAGATAATATACAAAACGCTGTAAAAAATCAATTTTAAAGAGCAATCAGTACATTTCAAATGTTATATAATCTTGTTGATACAAGAAGTGATCACACAACAAAATGACACAACGGCCTACGAAGCAAGCCAACCTGTCATTCAGAAGATCCTAGTGTGTTTTATGACGAAGGTTGTAATTAGTTAACTTGTGTAAAAAGAACATAATTTGTACATATCTTTTTGTCAGTGTATGATACTGGAACTAATTAATATGTACCATGTCTTTTAACACGGTTATGTGCCCCAATCTTTATCATGTTTTCCCTATAAATAGAGGCATAATTGTATGGTGTACAAGTATCCTAGTTGTATCTTTTCAGAAGTTATCTCGATACAAAGTCTTTCTTTGTTTATTTCATTGTGTTACATATATTTCTTGATTATTGTTTCTTTACATAATGTTTTTTAGTTCCGCACTTAACATGTTTATTGTTTGATCTAAATAGATCCACAATTCAACAATTAGTATTGTGAACCTCTCGTTTAGACCGAGAGGATGTGTTAAATATAGTTTTTTTTGGGTAACAATATATATAATTTAGGTTCCCTTATGTAATATGTTGTGTTAGTTGTATTATAAGATATGCAATATAAACCATAAATAAATTTTCATATATCACAATTACATCTCAAAATTTAAGGATGTTACCACAAAATTCCTTAGGAGCATGACACATGGCATTAGTGAGATTAGTTAGTGCATTAACATTTTTCCAAAAGCCATTTGGTTTTCTATTTTTTTAGAACGATGAGTTAGTATATGTTTAATATATGTTTGAGATTAAACTCATGACATCCTTATTAAAAACACTTTGTTAGACGTAATATGTTTAATATATGTTTGAGATTAAACTCATGACATCCTTATTAAAAACACTTTGTTAGACGTAATACGACGCATTAACTCCTACCAAAACTAACAACTTTAAGTGTTTAATTCTTGATACAATTTAAACACAAACATTTTCTAATATATCACTTTACATAAAAGAACTAATAACTTTAAGTCATTTAAGTCTTTAATTGTTGCACACTTTGATTTAAAAATCGACACTAAACATTTAAATAGACAAAAAATAATTGATTTTTCTATTTACTTAAAACAACAAATACAATCATTACATAAATAAATTTTAAAGTAATTAGTTGATAATATATTTTGAGCATAATAGAAATTGATGATATATATTGGATTATCTAATACAAAATTGTATATGTTTTAGGATCGGTCGGTAAAAGTGGGCCCTTCAGGCGCGCATTGTCGTTTCCATCAAGCATCGCATCTTTGCCAGTTTCCTCCATTAATTAATTATAATCATTTCTTTATGCCAAAAATTCCCCTGTTTCTTCGTCTCCTCAATCCAAAACATTCTTCCAAAAACCCGCCTCTTTTAAATCGATTAGGGTTTCAGATATATAAGGATTGAGAGGGAAACACATTCGTGTTGATTTATTTCCCCCCGTTTTTCTTCTTCTTCGTCTTCATCCTGTAATTTTTTTCCTTGTTGTTATCGGTGTTTTTTGAATTTTATGCTTGAAAGGCTTTGCATCGAGTTGATTAATAGTTCAATTATACGTGTGTGAGGCAGGGTTGTTGCAATTATCAAGCTTAGGGTTTCTGTGTTTTGCGGTGGAACGAGGGAATTCAGATTTTGGGGTTTCGACTTTCGAGCTAATTATTTGGAGTAGAAATGGGGAAACCTTCCGGTAAGAAGAAGTTACAGGCTGCGGCTGAAAAAGTAACGAAACACAAGAAAGCATCAGGATCTGATCGAACTCCGACACAAAATAATGACGCCAATGGTTTTGAGAATAAGAAGGTTGAAGAAATCGACAGGGGAAAAAACATGGAGAAACCTAAGGACAACAAGGTAAACCGAGGTAAAAAGAAGAGAATAGATAAGAAGGTGGCGATGGAGGATGATAAGAAGATCGTTAAAGAAGAAAAAGTGATGACGAAGGCAGTGAAACTGGTGTTTGGAGATGATATAAGGTGGGCACAGCTACCTGTTGATTGTAGCATTGGATTCGTGAGGCAGATAATTCGCGACAGATTTCCTTCCTTACATGGTGTTCTTATCAAGTACAAAGATCGAGAAGGAGATCTAATCACCATTATAACAACACCTGAGCTGAGATCTGCAGAAACTTCAAGTGATCCTCAAGGTACGTTCAAACTCTACCTAGTGGAAGTTACTCCAGATAAAGAACCATCATACGAGCTCTTCCAAAACGAACAACTCCCCATTGTTTCTGAGGGAAAATCAGAAGAAGGAATCACGAATTCCAAAGAGGAATGGATTGTCCAGTTCTCAAGACTCTTCAAGAGCCATGTGGGATTCGACACAGATCCATATTTGGATCTTCATGAACTCGGAATGGAGATTTACTCAGAAGCAATGGAAGATACAATCACAACAGAAAGCTCCCAGAACCTTTTCGACATAGCTGGATCAAAATTCCAAGAAATGTCCGCTTTAGCTTTGTTCAACCTAGGCAACGTCCACATGAACAAAGCAAGAAAATCGATTGTCATTTCAGAAGATAACAACACAACAACCAAAGAATCAGTATCAGAACAAGTGCAAATCGGATTCGAATTCTCCCAAAAAGAATACGAAAAAGCAGGGGAAAGATACGAACAGTCAACACAAGTCAAACCTGATTTCTACGAAGGACACCTGGCACTCGGACAACAACAATTCGAAGAAGCAAAGCTCTCATGGTGTTACGCACTCGGATCCAAAACCGATTCACTAAACCCAACATCTTCTTCAAGAATCCTGGAGCTATACAACAGAGCTGAAGAAAACATGGAAAAGGGAATGCAGATGTGGGAAGAATCGGAAGAAAGGAGACTGAATGGATTGAGTCTATGCGAAGAACATAAGACTGAATTGGAGAAATTAGGTCTGGAAGGGATTGTCGATGTTAAAGATGGATCAAATGATGAAGATTTGGAACAAGCTGTGAATATAAGATCTCAGATCTATATCTTATGGGGGACGTTGCTTTATGAGAGATCTGTTGTTGAATGGAAGATGTGTTTGGGATCATGGGAAGAATGTTTGGAGGTTTCGATTGAGAAATTTGAACTTGCGGGTGCTTCTCCTACTGATATTACTGTCATTATAAAGAATCACTGCTCAAATGGAACAGCTTTGCAAGGTAAATAAATCGGAGAAATTTTTTTTTTTTTTTTTTTTAATAAAAATTGTAAATGTTTTATGGATTTGGATTTGTAATTTGTAGGATTGAGTTTCAAGATTGATGAAATAGTTCAGGCATGGAATGAGATGTTTGATACGAAAAGATGGCAGACTGGAATTCCTTCGTTTCGGTTGGAGCCGTTGTTTAGGAGGCGGGTCCCCAAACTACATTCGCTTCTTGAGAATTTTTAATTTTAAAGTAAAAGAAAGGTAATATTTTATATTATTAATATTTTTTTTCGTTTTTGTATGAATGTATAATCAAGAAACAAAACAATAAATGAATAAATTCATCCTGAATTTTGTTTTGCAGGAATTTTTTTGTTGGTAGTTTAACTTTGTTTCTTTTGCTAATGGAAGTGAAAGAAGTGGTTTTTTCTTGGATTTTGTTATATTTAGTGTGATCAAGGCTTCTACTATATTTTTTTTCCCCTACAAGGGTATAAATCTCAAAGGAGTATACATCATTTTTGTTATATAGTTATATAAACATTCATTGTAATAGTTTGTCTTGCTCATGGTGAGCAAATGAGGTTGAAAAAGTTGTTATGTTATTTTTTATATTTCTGTGTGTTTAATCTTTGTAAAGCTAACTAGAAAATTAGACTTGTCAATTGATAATTGATATATCATGAAGCATCATGTTTTAGGTTTAGATATATTTAATCAAATTGCTTCTTAAAAAGTCACTTGTATTCACCATAACTAAAGCATGATTTATGTTGTTCATTTTAGCTTATTTGTATAACAAATAAAATATATGTAACACAAGAGAGATGAGACATTCCATGATATACAACTACATACACCAACCAATTAAATAAAGCCTTGAGAGAGAAACAATCATTATTATTTATGAAGTAGAACCATAACCTTTCACTAATACTAGTATAATATAATAAAACATAATTGATCTTAGAAAATAATCAAATAACACACAAGATAATAATAAATATATTAAATCCCCCAATCAAGCAACGCATTACACTCTAAGCTTCGAATGAATTCCATTAATATGGTTTTTTTTTTTCTCATCTAGTTCATAGACCTCATCCTAGTCAACAATTAATTTATCTTCAATATTCTCAGTTGCTTATTTATCTTAATTTGAACTTCCTCCTCCTCATGTGTTATTTTAAAATTTAGTTGAATGACATTCATGCCACTAGGATACAATATCCTTTTCTTTTGAATCCACCAAATTTCCTTTTCGTTTATTTAAGAGCCTCACAATAAGGAATTCCGTTTACTAAGGGTGCGTTTGGTTGTGGAAAATTTTCCAAGAAAAACGGAAATTTTGAAAACGCGTTTGGTTCGTTTATTTTTTCAAAATTTTCCAAGAAAATGAAAATTTTCAGTTTTCCAAATTGTATGTAAATTAGAAAAGTGATTTTTACAGTTTTCCAAAGTTTTCTAAATTTCTAAGATGGAAAATGAAAACTCTCCCGTTTTCAACCAAACGCGTTCTCTAAAATTTTCATTGAAAATTGAAAACGAAAACTCAACTCTATTTTCTGAAAACATTTTTTTAGAAAATGAAAACAGTTTTCCACAACCAAACGCACCCTAAGTTTTTTTTGTAACAAATGAAAAAGCTCACTTCTTTTCATAATAGGGAAGCTCTTTTTATAAAGTTTATTTATGAGTCTCGTTATTTATTTATTTATTTATTATTATTATTATTATTATTATTATTATTATTATTATTATTATTATTTATAATCAAATTGAGTTTAATATTAGTTGAGCAGGGAGAAAAACACTGCCTCAAAGCTCCAGGGAGGATGAAGGCGATATACACGACATGGTTATAGGGTGGAACAGGGAGGAGGCGGAGACATAGGTTTTTGTGCAAGATGTTGATAGGGTGGTGGAGATGAGTTTTCGAAAGTGTTTCTGTATCAAAGGTATTTGAGCGAGGAAGAAGGGAGGTTGATGCGTTTCACAATACCGAGTCACAGGACTCAGTTCGGTAGACCGTTTTGCCCTCTTTAGATCTCTTAGTTATCTTACACAAAATCAACCCTAACTTAAATGAGTCAAATCGATTTTAACCCTAAAGAACAACGAGATCCGGGGTAGGAGTAGAGCTGACAATGGGTCGACCTGTGTTGGGTTCGGGTTCAACCCATTTATTAATTGGATTGAAATTTGATTTCAACCAAACCCAACCTTTTTATTTAAATGAATAGATATTTCCAACCCAACCAAACCTTTTAGATAAATGGGTTGTCACCGAGTTGACCTATTTATGTAATTCCCAACCCAACCTATTAAATAAATGAGTTAAACCTGGGTTAACCCATTTAAAATAAAAAAGTAAATAAATTAACTAAATATTACACCACTTAAACTAGTTTAAAGCTTAAATAAACTTTCAAAGTATAATAAAAACACAATCCTAATTCATAAATATAAAAAAATTATTCAAATAACATTAAAAATATGTAATTTTAAAGAATGACTAGTGTTGTCGGCACAAAAAACAAAGATAGCAATTAGGATTGCATTTTTTATTTTTAAAACATAAATAATAATACAAGATTGTAACTTATAAATTAATACTTAGATTAATACATGATAATATTTAAATAATTATTAAATTAAATATATATTAAAGTTAAATGGGTTGATGGATTGAAAACGGGTTGATAATATTTACTCAACCCATCCTATTTAATTAAATGAGTTAGATGGGTTGACTCATTTATCCTAAATGGGTTGAAAAACTCAACCCAACCTACTAATTTTGGGTTGGGTTCTGGTTGAGTTGATTTTTGCCTTACTGTAGGTAGAAGGAGATTGAGATTGACGTCGATTTTGTATGGAGAGAGAGAGAGAGAGAGAGAGAGAGAGAGAGAGAGAGAGAGAGAGAGAGAGAGAGTATGTGGGTCCCACTTTTATATTTATCAATAATAACTTTAAAAAATGAAAAATAAATATATGAAACGTATATTAGTCTTTTCAGTTTTTCAAAAGACCAAATACTATAGTCAAAAGGACTATTTATCCTAATTTTTTCAAGGTTTGAAACGTATTTTCTGAAAAAATACAAATCGAATGGACCATTTTTACAATTTTATTTAAAATATATGTAACACAAGAGAGAGGAGACATTCCATGATATCCAACTATACCAACCAATAAATTAAGCCTTGAGAAACAGTCATTATATGTCTTAGAACCATAACCATTGACTAATACTATATAATAAACCACAAGTGATCTTAAAAAATAATAATAACCAAAAAAATTAATAATAAATCCCCCAATCAAGCAACACATTAGAGACTAAGCTTTGGAAGAATTCCGCTTCTCATCTAGTTCATACTTCATAGACCTCATTCAAGTCAACGACTAATTTTATTCAATATACTCGGTTGCTTACTTATCTTAATGATTATTTTCCTATTGAACCTCTTCATGTGTCAAATTAAAATTTAGTTAAGTAAATTGTATAAAAAGATAATACTACTCTTTTCTTTCCAATACAATGAATCATTGTGATTTTGTTTTTAATCATATATGAAACACAAATGATGTGAGAGTATCATCATGCATTGTAATGTGCTACACAAAGCTCGAGATTCATCCAAAGACCTTAACCAAGTGCAATAGCACAAGAGATCCATGACTTGTGAAGTCGTAAGAGATGCGGTGATACACACGTCAATTCACCTATATGTGTACATGCAATTTTTTTCACCACCAAGTAACAATATCTCACCCCCATTTGCTACAAAGAAGTACTACAATATTACCGTTTTGTAGATTTATCATCCATTCAAGAAAAATAGAATATAAAGATGATGAAAGCAGAATTGTAAGGACTCTTGAAAAAAAATGATATTTTTCATCAACCAAAACTG